TGCTGCAGGTGGCCCAAGTGTTTCGGTAGCCCTGCTCGGAGGCAGTAGGAGAAGGCAGCCAGGCATTGCAGCAGCTACGCGCAGTCCCCGGTTAAAAGCCCGGCGTCCCGGCCTCCTTGGCACGGGATGTGCCATTAGCAAAGAGAGCTGTAAAACGAAATGTGAAACTTGGCCCCTGCCCAGCAGCCCGAGCCGGTGAGAACTGTGCTCTGCGCTTGTTTGTTCGGCACTCCCAGGTAAATAAATACGTGCTTGCCAGCGACTCGGGATTGGAGCCAGAGATAGAAGGGATTTTTTGTTTTAATTATTTTTAATTTTTTTTTATTTTTGCGTCTGAAGTTTTTGGGCTGCTATTTCAGGCGTAATTAGGGCGATCCAGGCTGCAGAGCCCTTCCTGCCCTCGTCCCATACAGCTTTCAGCCCTGAACGAGGGTTTGGGAGTTGTAAGTGCCTCCTCATCTCCAGACATCTGCTCTCCTGCTTCAATTCCCAAAGCCTGGACCTGGGTGTCTGTGCTTTTCACCCTCCCCATCCCGGCCACAGCAGCTTGAGGAAAAAACAGGCAAATCGGGACAATCTGCAGAGGACGGATACACTGCAAGGGTTTGGAGGAGCTGGGATGCAAACCTGTGCCCTTCAGGTCCCCAAAGCGTTTCATTTAGGACTTAAAATGCAGCTATTGACACACAGATTTTGGGAGCGGGCGCCCGTAGCTGCCAGCACCGGTGATTGTGGGCAGCCACGGAAGAACAGCAGCACCTTTGCAATACCCTGATGGCACGGACGCCCCAGGGCAGCGACCTGCGGTCCTGCTCGCTCAGGGGGTCTGGTGGGTGGGGTGGCAAGGGAGATGTGGAGGTGTCTGCTCACGTCCCGGTCTCACAGCGCTCGTGTCCTGCTGGCTTCCCTGCCTCCCTCCCGGAGGGATCCTCTCTTCTTTTGGTACAGCTGGGCTTTATCAGTGCTTTTTCTCCCCCTGAAGTTTTCCTTCCCAACTTGCACGGTCATTTCCAATGAGAACACTTCTAATCCTAAGTCCAAGAATTGGAGTCACTGCTGGACTCATTCTTTATCCTGATTTGAAACTATTCCACCAGCGAATATAAGGTGACGTGACCCTCCAGCAGTCCTGGCCAGGTCTCCCTTGGACCCCCAGCAGCAGACAGGGTTGTTGTGGGCTAGGAGGACCATCTCCCAGCGCTGCTGCTGGGACAGGAGCAGTGTCCCAGAGGAGCACTCGCCCCTGCCCCTCGGTGACTTTGGCCCCACTGGGGTCACACGGGGTGGCTGGCGACCGCAGGGCTGCAGCAGCCTCATGCTTGCCTTCCTCTCCTCCCAGATTGCCTCTTCAAAGTATGTCCCATGAACCGCTACTCTGCCCAGAAGCAGTACTGGAAGGCCAAGCAAACCAAGCAGGACAAGGAGAAGATCGCGGATGTGGTGCTGCTGCAGAAACTCCAGGTGAGCAGACCTGAGGGACCGTCCTCCCCAGAGCGGACAGTCCCCGCGGGTTGGTCGGGTGATGACATCCAAACCTCTGGCTGTGCAAATCCCGGTATGTTTTGCTTCCCAGAAATCAGCCTGCATGGAGGCCAGGACCTGCCCTGGGTCTTGCTCTCCTCAGGGTGTTCCTCTGCTCAGCTCTGTTATCTCCTGACCCACCGCCCTCCCCTCACCATGGACCGTTTGCCACACTGCCTTTTCTAGAGGAACGGCTCCTGGAGCCAGCCGCTCTTAATTCATCGTGGCACACGGTCTCTGCTGAGGGGGTCGAGAGAGGAGCTCTGTAAGGTGCTCTGCGCTGGCATTTGCCGGACTGAGGGTTGTGGTCCCCGGACGAGCTGGCCCCCAGGGATGTGTGCTGCACCCTGGGTTACCCTTCTCGTGTAATGCTTTTATCTGGCCTCAGATGTGAGAGGCAATTGAACCTCTCCTGACGGCTCCTTCGCTTTCATGCCCAGCCTGCACGAGTGCCCTTGGCATGGGGGGAGCCCTGGGCAGCGCGGCGTGGTCACGCTCGGTCCACGCCGTGATGGCACAAAGTGAATACAGCAGTTTGATGAGTTTGTTGCTCCCAGTGCAAGGCAAATGGCCCAGGGAAGACCTGCAGAGAAGGATGTAGGGGCCTGAGCAGGCAGGGAGAGGAAGGGAGGGCAGCGATGCTGCTTTTGGGATGAGAGTCAACGTCCACCTGCCTTTCCACCCTTGCCGCCGTGCTCAGCCTTTGCTGTCTCGGCCCTTCTGATGCTCCTCGAGCAGAGGAGCCCGTGGCAGAGCGGGAAGAGGTGCTCTGAGCACAGCCCCGCTGCACCCAGGGGTGTCTGGCACGGAGGAGGGAGCCGCTGCGGCCAGGACGTGCTCCAAAGGGCTGTGGAAGAGAAAGGCTCCTGTTTACTTCCACGAGGTTTGGAAAGGGCCCATGTTAAACATTGCATAATCGCTTCAGACAACTGGCGAGGCCCCGAGGATGATTCATAAAACTGAAGCTCAGGAGAGATTCATTAAATCATCTCGTCAGGCTTCAAGCCCAGCCCCACTGGTCCCCCAGTTTTGCCTTTGGGGAGCGAGGTCTGATGGGGTGTCGGGATGGGTTCAGAGATACCGGGACAGGGCCGGTGCCTCCTGCCATGTCCAGCCCTACGTGGTTGCTGGCGTATGGAAACACTATTTTCCTGCTCCAGTTAGGCTGTAACTTGTGATGTCGACAGCTGTACTGGCCATGACTGGACAGAGGGGCTCATTTCTGAGCCTGATTGATTGCACCTTGGTTAAGAGTTGTCTTGAAGAGATTCTGTCATTTCCTTGCTCCTTTCTGCTGCTCCTGGTGTTGCTCGTTTGGCAAATGCTCCTTTGCATCCGGAGCCGAGTCCTGGGGAGCCCGGGCAGGGAGGGAGCTCTCTGCAAACCACTGCCCGTGCTGCCACAAAGCCACTAGATGTCCTGGCAGGGCGCTGGACTCCTGGCTATGATTTATCAGCATCTCCCACAGGCTGAAAACATCTTCCAACACGCGGAGATAATTTCCCGAAGCAGAAGGAGCCTGGTCTCGAGCAGAGAAACCCTGCCCAGCCATCTGCGATGCCCACAGTTGCCTTTCCGAGCTTGTGCTCTTGCACCGTGGGTTTTAAGTGGGTTTAAGGCTCGGGGTTTTCTCGGCTGACTAATTGTAGGCGCAGCCAGATGCAGTGCAGACGTGCCGTGGAGGCTTTCCTCCCGCTCTGCCGATGTCTCCCCATCCTCCCTGCGCCCTCCTGGGCTGCCCACCCCTGTGTGCATCCCTGACACCCCATCCCGCCGTGGCTTGGGGTCGGACCCCGTCCTATCCAAGGGACGGGCTGGGAACGTCAGCCCCCACGGGCTTGTGCGCTTGGGGCAGACGGTTCCCACTCCCAGTCCCATTGGCTTTTGGCAAGGGAAGGGCTCGGATCTGAACGCGGATTTAGGACACAGCGCAGTGCCGGATCTCTTGCCGGAGCTGTGTTGCTCCATGGGGTTGTTGTTAAACTCCCAGCTCTGCATCAGTGCAGGATTTCTTGGCAGCGGGTTTGTTTTCCTGATGGCAGCAGCCACCACCACGGGGCTTATGGCCCCGGCTGGCACCCAGAGCTGCGTGGGGACGGAGAGTTAATTAAAGTGGTGGCAACATTCAAAAGAACAAAGGCTTTGTGCTGCCACAACCCGTGCCAGGCGCATTCAAATTCCCAGCTTCGCCTGTTCGGGCACTTACGGACCTTCTGCCCCCCTCCTCCCAGTGCGGAGCTGTGATTCCAGCTGTGTTTCCCAGTTCCTTCTGCTCTCAAGTGAAAGGCGGTGAAAGCAGGATGGGAAAGGGTCGATGCTCTCCCAGCTCCATCCCTCGCTGCCATTTCCCATCCCAGCTGCGGGGGAACACGGGGCTGGTGCTGCCTGGGCTGTGCCTGGGCTGGTGCTGGGGCGTCGGCGCGCCCTCGCCGTCGCCAGACAGATCTGCTGTGGGAGCAAATTCCTGCCTTGCTCCGGGTACGTCGACATCACTCCGACTGCCAGAGCCACCGCACGGAAAATGCCTGTGGTTTTGGAGAGAGGGGCTGCAAGCAGCGCTGAGTGATCCGCTCTTGGGGCATCTTGGCTGGCGGGGGCCCATCCTGCCGCATCTGCAGCAGGTCTGGACCTGCAGCCGTCGACAGGCACGGCATCGCCGGCACAGCACCCTTTGTTCTTCGGTCTTGGTGCTGCTGGGAGCCCCTGGTCCCCACAGCCCTGCTGCAGTGGGGTTGAGATGGAGGCACTGCCCCAGCCCCTGGCCCGTGCACAGAGTCCCCTTTTGGGGCTGCCCTGTAAGACCTGCTGGGTTTTTTGGGGGGAATTTCGGTGCCGTTTTGTCCCTGTTCTAATATTAAAGTCCTTGGTTTAAGGCTTGCAGGGACTTCATACGGCTGCTCAGGGCCACACCGTGGTCCCAGGCTGAGCTCTTGGACACTGAGAGCCGTGTTGTAGCTCTGGCCCGTGTTGTCTTGGGGACAGAGGGATGCTGATGCTGCATCCCAGCCTGTCCCATCCTCCCCATAGCTGAGGGTGTGGGTGGCCTCTGGAGCTTGGTCCTGGGGAGCGAGGAGGGTGCCACTACACTCAGCTCCTCTCCTGTTGGCATTCAGCATGCGGCCCAGATGGAGCAGAAGCAGAACGAGACGGAGAACAAGAAGGTGCATGGTGACGTGGTGAAATACGGCAGCGTCATACAGGTACCAGTGCTCACTCCCCCGGCCCTCTGCGCTGGGCTGGTGGGTTTTGGGGGGGAGATGCACAGACCCAGCATGTGCGAGTCAGGCAGCTGCTGGGAAGGGGCTCGTGGGATCACTCCTGGGTATGACCAGCCTGGGGACCTCAGGGGGCTGTACTGCCACAGCTTACCCCAGTATTTGCTTTTCCAGCTCCTCCACATGAAGAGCAACAAGTACCTGACAGTGAACAAGCGACTGCCAGCCCTGCTCGAGAAAAACGCCATGCGGGTGACGCTGGATGCCACCGGCAACGAGGGATCCTGGCTTTTCATCCAGCCCTTCTGGAAGCTGAGGAGCAACGGAGATAACGTGAGCTCGGGGTTGAAAAGTCCTTAAGTGAAGAGGTGCAGAAAGCGCCGTGCGTGCTGCCTGCCAGGGCTCGCCTCCCTGCCGGGCGCCCGGTCTCATCCTCGCTCCCCCCTTTCTCATTTTGCTCCTCAGGTAGTCGTGGGAGACAAAGTCATCCTGAACCCCGTCAACGCTGGGCAGCCGCTGCACGCCAGCAACTACGAGCTTGCTGACAACGCCGGCTGCAAGGAGGTACTGGGAGGCTGGGCTGCCTGTGTGGGGTTTGGCTTCTAGGGCTTGCCTGGTTTCCTTTTTTTCCTTTCTCTTCCTTTTATTTCCTTGTCCCAGGGAACATGACCGCACTCTTTTGCTCCTCAGGTGAACTCAGTCAATTGTAACACCAGCTGGAAAATCAACCTTTTCATGCAGTTCTGCGACCACATGGAGGAAGTACTGAAAGGGGTAAGGAAGGAGGTTCACCCACGGGCGGCCACCCAGGACGTGGTGGGCTCTGTGGACACAGCCCTGGTCCCCTGCAGGGGCAGGACCTATGAACAGCCATTTGGCTGTGTGACAAGGGCAGAGGAAAGAGATCCTGCCTTGAGGACCTTAATTTCTGGGAGAATTCATCACTTGGAGAGCTTAAGAGCAAGCTACAGTTGGATATTTTAGCATCTCCTGGCAGCAGGTACCCAGGGGGCATGAAATTACCCTCTGCCTTATTGTATTAAATTGGCTTTCGAGGACAATACGAGGCACACGTAGTGCCAGCAGCGGCTTCTAGCCGCGAAGACAATTTTCAGCTGTTTAGCTGTGCAGCAGGGCTGGCTGTTGCCTGGGAAAGGAACTTTCCCTGCGGAGCTATTGTTTGGGGCTGAGGTCCTCCAGGAAGCAGCTGGATGGATATTGATTGTTATGATCTTACAGACCCTCGTCCCCAGGCGCCGCACTTATCCCCGGCTTCCCGCATCCACTGCATCCTCCTCCCCAGGGCGTTAATGCCTTAAACACATTGGTGAGCGGAGCCTCTGCCTGCTCCGGGGGTGTAAAACGGTGGGTTTGCACCCATTTCACAGCCTGGGGATGGGAAGCAGAGAGAAATGACTTGCATCAGTAAGTGGAGTGATGGCATTGCGGAGTGCAGGGTCCCCTGTGCAAATGCCAAGTGCCCTTCCCTGGGTTTAGAGGAGCATTTGTGCTGCTAGAGGCAGGTTTTAGCACAGCTCAGGTAGGTAGGAGAGGAAAAGCTGATGGTGCCCTGCAGTGCCCAGGCTCCCGCAGTCCTGCTGTGCTGCAGCTGGGAGCTGTGCTCTGCTCTGGACCACGTACAGGGGGGATCCCATCCCCTTGCAAGGTGGGGGTCACAGGAGGAGCTACGTCGGTTTGTAGGAGAGCCACGTCCCTGAGCCTAACCACTGTATCCCGGTGCCAGGGGGACGTGGTGAGGCTCTTCCACGCCGAGCAGGAGAAGTTTCTCACCTGCGACGAGTACAAAGGCAAGCTGCACGTCTTCCTCCGCACCACCCTGAGGCAGTCGGCCACCTCGGCCACCAGCTCCAACGCCCTGTGGGAGGTGGAGGTGAGCGGGGAGGGGGTGGAGCGCGTGTCCGTGGGCTTTTGGGGTCTCTCCGTGGGTTGCTGCCCTTTCACCGGGGTGGTGGTGCTGGAAGCAGTCGTTATTTTTACACATTTCCACCTCTGGTAGCCTGACTGCCCTGGTGAAATCCAGCACAAGGCTTGAGCTCCATGAGAGCACTGGGAACCGTGGCTGCTGGTGGATGGGCACCAGTGCCTGTCTGAGCTCTGCACTCCGAGTATGTTTGCTCACAGCCGCCTTTGAGATAGGACGGGGCTCTTATCACCAGCGTGTTTGCTCGGGGTCAGCAGAGGTTCAGAGGCAGGAGTGGCGTCCTGGTTCCCCACAGCCCCGCATGCCACCGGCTGAGCTCTCCTCTGCTTCTCCCAGGTGGTCCACCACGACCCGTGCCGAGGGGGAGCCGGGCACTGGAACGGCTTGTACCGCTTCAAGCACCTCGCCACGGGCAACTACCTGGCAGCAGAGGTAAGGGGGTGAGCAGAGGGACGCAGGGAGCTGCCGTGCCCCCGAGAGGCTGGGACCATCCCTTGCCAAGGCAGTGCCCTGAGACAGAGCAGCGATGCCCAGGATCGCCTCTGGCCCCGTTCCACTTCGCTTTCGGAGCTGTCCTGCCCTGGGCCTCCGCGCCTCCTCCTTGCTCTCGGGAGGCATTGGCACCAGGGCTGTGAGCGTCGTTGCCTTTCGCCCTTCAAATCCCCCACCCTAGGGTGCAGGGGCTCACTCACCAAAATTGCTGTTCCCAGCTCCATCCTCGAGGGTGGCCGGGTTTTTCTTCTGTTTGCTCTCACTGGGCCAAGTGACTGTACCAGCACAACCTCCTGGTGGGATGGAAGCGGGAGATAATTCATCCTGCTGCGTTTAACCCTTCCTGGTCAGGTTTTGCCCATCCTCATCCTCTGGTACACAGCCGCATCCAGGACTGTCCTTGCCTGGGGAGGGTGTGGGCAAAATCTGGGCATGGAAACATCATTTGCCAATTTTTTTTTTTCATCCAGTATAAGGCCAGCTCAAGGCCACCTGATAGAGGCACAAAGAGGTTTCTGCATTTGGATAATGTGGTTTATATGACACAAATGAGCTGCCAGGACCAAGGGAAAGACAGTGTTACACCCTGCTGCCAGGGGAGCAGGGGTGCACCGGGGGGGATCTTGGTGCACCGTGTGCCAAAGGTGCTTCCCTAGCTGGAGAAGACAACCCAAGGCAGTCCTCAGGGCCCCTTCCACCACTGCGTGGATGGAAAACAGCAAATACTGGGGCTCTGAAATGGCTGCTTTAAACCAAAAAGACACTCAGATGACATCTTCTGCAGAGGAAAGAAGATCACAGATTGATCCCCATCCCAGGCTGGTGCTGCCCGGCTTGCGTTGCCCACCGAAACCTCAGCCTGGGGCCTCGAGGGATTTACAGCAAGAGCTCGTCTTGCTGCAACGCAAAGCCCCGGGTCTGCTCACCAGGGCTCACCCCGTCCCGCTCCTCGGGAGCAGAGCTCTGCGCGCTGGGTATGGGTCACGTCCTCCAGCCCCATCTGGGCAGGTTTCCTCTCTGTGGTGTGATCAAGGAAGGCAGGAATAGAGATAAGACCCCGTGCTCAGGGTTTTGGAGGGACCGAGTGGGAGGACTGATAGCTGTCTTTCATCTCCCTCTTTAACTTTTCAGGAAAACCCAAGTTATAAAGGAGACGTGGCTGAGCCCAAAGCAGCGCCCACGGTGAGCTGTGTGCAGCCTCGCTAGCAGAAATGCTGCTGCTGCTGCTGCCTGAAATCACGCCGTCTCTTAGACACTGCCTGAAAGCAGGGAAATGCCCCAAAACAGAGCCCACTGTGGGGACAGCGCCCGCGCCGTGCCGCCGGGTCCCGCTTGGTGCCAAGGCTGAGGCCGGAGGCTTTCCCGCCGCCCAGCAGAGCATCCCCGCGCCCCCGCACCCTAGAGTAGCATCCCTGTGTCCCGCTTGCGAGAGGACGCTGCCGAAATCTGTCGGAGGGGTTCCCAGTGCATGTTGGATCCCCAGGCCACGGGGAAGTGCTGGTAGAAGAGAGATTTGGACTTTCAGGTTTTTTTTTTCCTCTTTGCTGCTGGTGAGATTTGGCGAAGGGGTGGCCTCGTAGCTCAGGTGCATCACGCTGCGCTTGTGCTCTTGCAGCCCCCTCGTGCGTCTGCACGCTGCGAGGCTCAGCCCGGCGTCTGAGCAAAAGCTTCTGCTCCGAGCGTAGCCGCTGCGCGTCTCCTCCGATGCCGTGGGCGCAGGGAGGCCGGGCTCGGCGGGGGGGGCGGCCCCCGCC